GGAATAGTAGAATTTTTTCTCTCGGTTGTCTGTGAACGTTAAAACCACGTGAACCATACTGTCCACTATCGAAGTCTTCGGGTGAAATACCTACATCACAGACTTTTATACCGACGATTGTTTTTTTTTTTTTCGGTTCGTATTCTAACACAATATATTTAACTAATCTACGCAGCAATCGAATAACAATTGAGATCTTTTAAAAAAAAACATACGGATATCGGTTTTTTTTTTTTTTCATAATAACCTATTATTATTGCTGTTGCGTATACATAATATTACCAGTTGTATCTGTTTTGTAATAGTTGACGCGCGAGTTCGTGAACGAAATAAAAACAACAACAACGTTAAAGTAAACACTAAACTATTTCGTTTGAATCAGCACGATAAAACAGAAATATAAATAATGGACATTTATCGGGTTGGAATATGACTAAATCGTCGAAATATATAATTTGCCAGTAAATTATTGTATTTCCCCCCCCCCGTTTTCTCCTGGCACGATGAAAGGGGTTTTGAGGAACCATGGCCTCCGAATAATTCTGCGTGGGTTTGTTTGCGGATGGGTGCGGATGAATATACTGGTCGATTTCGCAGACCATTATTATAACAGGGTTACCTATAATTGGGTTACTTTGGATAATCACAAAGCTGAAATCCGGTTATAGTTAAAACCGTAGATCAATACATTAAGTATTGTAAGCAGTGTACATAAATTATACCCTAAACGGTTTAGCGATTCTATGGAGTTTACCGATACGTGTGTTTAAGGTGCTAAAGAAGTAAAAAAAAAAAAAATTAAAGGACGCGTTCGCTTTCGCGGGTGCCCGATAAGGGACGCACAAGAGATGTACATATATGTCCTCCGGACAGTTATAAAAGTCCTTGAAAATTGAGGTCGACTGTGGTTGTGTGGAGACCTATATTGCCGGGAAACATATTTTTAATTCGTTTTCCCCGAAAATTACCATACGGACGCCACAAATACTTTTCCTTGATCATGTATAGGTGGGCGGCGGACGTCCCGATACACTCGTATAATGTCGGCCGACCGGGTATAAACAAAGTTCACCGCGCCACTGCGGTGCCGATGGTTTTTACGGTAGTCTCTCTGCGCCGGGTATTCTGAACAATACTTTTCGTTTACATTTCGCGAATGTATCGAAACGTGTGTACACTGTACACACCGTACACTACAACGACACCTGTCTCCGACGCGGCTCCGCGCTATCGCAATAATACGAGTAATTGGATACACGGTCGTCTTAAGACCCGCGACACGCGCGCATTGCTCCGCGAAGTATTAACGTCTCGAAACGACCCGAAACCCTTCTGCGCGGCACGCCGCCGATTATGCGCCCGTATACCTATTTCGCGTATTAATTTTGTCCCGGATTCGCGTGTACGCCGTACACTTATTATTGAACGCGGACAAACGAAATGCGATTTTATACCGCGGTGAATTCATTCCCACGCGGCGATACAATTATAATATATACGTGTATACGAGCACGGCTACGGTTTAAACCCATTACGGATTTGCCCCGGCCGCGCCAGACTTAAGGTTTTGAATCGTCATCGCGACGGTTTTCTCCTGCTCCGGATTACGCGTCGCCCGTTTCCGAACGTTTCTCGCGTATTGTAAAACCCAATTACGTATATAGTTATAGACGTTTAGAGACTTATTGGTGCACACCGCGGTCGCTGTCAAGAGGTTTCGAGAGTGGGGAGGTTTACGAAACACCACCCCCCCCGGTAGAACTGACAAAACGAACCGTCTCGAACAACAGTGGATTATAAATTATATCGACGAAATCGCGAAAAATATCGAGAATTTGAACAAGTCGGAATTTACAATATACAGCTGCGGTGGCGTGCCGAGGACGGAGGGGCTAAGGATGTTTGAGACCCCAATTATCCATCAGTCATTGACCGTGTTAAAATTTAAAAATAACAAATACAAACTACTCAACATCCAATAAAACCAAACTCACTATAATAAAATTAAAAATCATTACACATTTGCACAGCGGTATTATAATTAATCTTACTAGACTTTAAGTACAAATAATAATACTGTATATTACACGATAATATATTTTTCAAAATAAATCCAAAAAAATAGTTTTTTAGAATATAAATATTAAGATATGTTTTGCATCATCGCTATTTTTTAACATTTATAATTTTGTATTAGATAAATGCTTCAACCCCATTAGAGAATACCGGATAATTATCCTTGTAAATTATTCTTTTACATTCTGAGTGGAGCAAAGAAGCTTATGGTTTTAAAAAGATGTTAATGTTTTTTTTTCTGTGGACAACTTTTCTACCAACAATTTTGATCCAAATTTTAATTACAGCAATATTTCTGAAAGGCCATTTAACTGATGAGGTATTTTAAAGAAGTAATTTTTCCATTTTCTGCGGAGTTTTTTCAGAAAATGTGAAAATCTGTAAAACTGGTAAATTCGGTACATTAAACAAATATTATTAAAAAAAATATTTAGAGCCTATTTAATTATTTTACTATAATATAGCATATATATTGTTTGCAAAGCATCACTATCAAATGAACTCTGCTCAGAATCGTTTTTTCGTAAGCAATAGTTTACATCATTGCTTTCAGGTATACATTAAATCAGCTTTAACCGTGGTTGCACCCGTCTCCATTATTCTAGGACGCCTTTTATAATTTTAATTTGTTTTTTTGTAAGGGGGACAAATTTCGCGTTCCATTCTATAATATATTATTCGAAATCGGTCTGCAGTCTCTGTAAAATTACATATTTTACCGATGTGATCGTTGGGGGTGAGCTTCCCCTGTGACGCGTTGTTGCACACGGAAGTGATAAAACGATTTCAAATGGGGTTGCAAGTTCGGAGTTCACAAATTACCTTCTTACCCAACCTAATCGAATCTACCCTATCGTAACATAGGTAATTTTTATTTGAAAATTTCAAGGCTGCGGTTAGATTGATGGAATACAATTAATAGGATATCTATACGTTTTTAGGTGTACAACAACACCGAATTTGTAGTATCAAAATTGACAAAAATTTATACCAAATATTGCTATTTTGATAAATTTGAATAATAGACAGGTGATTTTTCTTTTTTTTTTAAGTGAACTATATAATTATTAGGTACTAATGTTTTAAGATTTATCGGATTAGATGATATTTTATTATTATTATTATTATTATTATTTTTCTTCCATATAGAATATCTTCGTCAATGACCGAGTATTTCGTCGCGACGACTACTCTAATATATATAAGTGTTATTAGTGTTATACGATGACTTGTGTGTATACGTGTGTATGTGTGCGTGTGTGTATGTGTGCGTGCTATCGTATATTATATTCGGAAACCCGTTTCTTTATTTATTTATTTCGTTTTTTTACAACTAGTTTTGGTAATGCAGACAAGAATGCTCCGTAAAACCTATAAGTACATATATATATACATTGACTACATTAACGCAGTCTGTGTAGTCTGTGTGACTTATACATAATGTTATATTATAGCCGTCTACTACCTCAACCTCTTTTTATAAGTCTGATTTAACGGTTTTTCGAAACGTACGTGTCGTTTATCACGCTGTACACACACACACACACACACACACACACGCACACACGAACCCATAATTTTGTTATTTGTCGACAGATATCAATTAATCGAAAACGACGATAATAATTCGGTGGATCGATAACTATTAACAAATACGTTTGAGCCAGTGTCGCAGAGCTAAGAAGTAAAGATATTAGGGAAATATGTCCCCCTCTTCTTGATGATTTTTATTATTATATGATTACATAGTTTTTAAATTCAAAGTCGAGATTTCATTTTGGAAAGGAGAAGGTCATCAAAACATCACGTGAAAAACATTAAAATGGTTAACAATATACTAGGTAGTTTCGTTTAAAAAAAAATTGTAGATAGTCGAAAAATGTCGGGGTGTGGGAGGAGTAATTCCAGAATCCACGGACCTCTCTAGCCATGTGTTTTTTCTCGACAAACGATATATATTCTGAATATGTCACTGCTATGAGCATAATATTATACGAGTAGTTAAATCTACCTGTACACACAGGTGCCAAAAAAAAAAAAACGAAAACAAAAAAAAAAAGCCGATAAACATTAACATATTGCCGCAGTAATTTTTTCGTTCAATCTTTTTAATATTCGATTTGGTTGCACAAAAATTATAACGCGGAGTACGAATTTATTCAATTCGATCGTTTGACACAATGTAGTTCGAATTATTGTTGTTTAAAAAAAAAAAAAAACACAATCCATTCACCGTTTAAAATAATCGACTCGTAAATGTGCAATATGCAATTATTATTTTATTGATGTAACGTGTAGGTACAACAAAATAGCGTAAACTCTCGTTTAATGGCCGGTTATTTGTTTAACCTGCGCGTTTAATAAAAAAAAAAAAAAATTAAACGCGAAATTCTCTCTAACCTAACCTCTGTACAGTATAACAATATTATTAAATATACGAATAAATGCTCGATGATTACACGTTTGTAAATACTGCACGCGAGCGCTCGTTACGGAAAATGATGATAATATTTTACGGTGTTTTTTTTTTTTTTTTAGCATCAGCGAGTAGGTATAGGTTATAAAACAATAATGGTGTGGCGAAAAAAAGGAAAACGATATTTTTTTTTTTTTTTTCAATCCTACAAAGTAAGGCTATTACAAAGTAATCGCTATTATACGCGATAAAAGAATGACATCCGGAATATCTAATTTTCGCGCGTACCTAATGCTTTTCGTTCTTATCGGGTAATGTCACATGTGTCCAAACACTGTGTGACGTTCCGTTCGAATCCGTGTAACGCGAAATGTTACGATTTCGACCCGAAAATCGGGGGTGAACACCCGGGGCGACGAGAACGCCCCCGGGCGGTTGGACTCGAATGGTCCTGTTATTGTTTTACTCAAGCGACCCGGTGGTCGGTACATAATATTTTAAAACGACAGCCCGATACGAGTAGAAAAAAAAAAAATGTCGCGTCGCCTAGAATTCCGAATGAAACGCTGCACTATAAACTATACGGGGGACGGGGAAAACGTTTAACGCGTCCGCCGACGAAATTAATAATATTATTTACAACGATGTATCGCACAGTACGTCGTCAATAATAACGATGATAATAATTATAATAATAATAATAATAACACGTATATTGTAATAACATACACTCGGCGCATTGTGTTGCGTACGGAATTAACGCCTTCGGACGGCCTTGGGACGCGTAAGCAAATACCAACAGGTGCAGCCAAGTCGGAAGTTTGCGGCCAGACGACGGGACACACGCCGCGCTGTATACGCAACGCCATTACGGCAGGTCTCGCGGGGAAAGAGGGGGAGGGTGGGGTATATACACGAGCAATTAGTCCGTTGTGATAATATTATAATGCGCCGCGGTCGTTTGTAACTGTGTTGTTGTTATTATTATTATTAATATACACGGTGTGTAGACGTCGCGGGCACGGAAATCGTGTCGACAAATCGATTCGGCTCGCGGACGAAACAAAAGCGGTAAATGGGGAAAAGAAAAGAAAAAAAATTAAAAAATCGAATCGCCCCGGGGATCTTTAGGCCGAAAAAACGCGTGCCGCATCACGAACGGTTCGTTTGTTGATATTGTTGTCGGGGCGTCGTCGTCGGGTCCGCGGTAATTGAGTCGTCGTCTCGGATGGGCGACCTGTCGGAAAAAGTCGCCGTCCGCCGCCGCACCGAAACGCGTGCGGTACAGCAACAATGTAATTGTGCGAATCTATTTAAACCGAAAAAAAAAGAAAGTCGCGACCGTCGGCCGTTTATCTATCCTCGACGTTACCATGCGATTATTTTCACGGTAAAAACGGTTCGATTTTTTTTCACGCATTTTTTCGCGGTACTCGGATATCGATTCCCGACCGTTTTATCAACGAAATTTGATAAACCAAACCTCAAGATGATTTCGACGATGTTCCATATCCACTCTTCTGCATACGTCATATAGTTTACGGTGTTGCGTTGTGCTTGCCTGCGGTTTTTGTCAAATTGTTCAACTGTTCGCACCTTCTAACGTATTCCTTTGGACTAAGTGAACTTCCTAAATTCGAAAATTAGATTTCCGTTCTTATGGACGGATTGAAATGATAACATTTTATTTAAATTTCAACATAAATTTCGCCGTGTTTTTTACAGAATATGGTATTTTCTTTAGCGTTGTACACCCCTACAGACCTCTCAAATTAAGCCAGAGGGATGCAATTTTATATATGCACGGTGTAAGTGTCAAATATGTGCCTTTTAGGAGTTTAAACTGTACATTCCTTCTCTAACCCTTATTATGTATTCACATTACCGGGTTTTAAATACCCCTACAGATTAACTGCACGCAATGCAACTCTGGCAAACATAAATATTTTAAATTAACGATAAAAAAAAAAAAACAACTAAATATTATCGATGACAACTCGGCCGGACGGAAGTTCGGCTCTAGTGTCGGACTTCTCGCGGGTTTTTTCTTTCTTCTGAATTCGATAAACCAAAACCGCGGTGAATAAAACGCAGTACCGAAATAATTCTGGAAATTTCCGTTCTTATAGGCTACTATAAATATCTTATTTTTAACAATATTTTCAGGCCGAGAGAGATTTTCAATGTTTTTTTTTTTTTTTTTTTTACTGCGTATTTCCAAGAAATCTTTCGCCTTTCCGTTTTGAGCGTTTACGTACTCGGTACTCTGGGGTTATAAACTGCCGTCTTAAGAATTTTTGTTATTTTTTTCGACAAAAATTTAAAACTATATACCATGGATTCACAACAAGTTTGCCAACACTCAGTTTCAGAGTCTTAAGGACATTCCGGGACGATAAATTAATATTAATGTTGAAAAATTGGATTTTCTCCGTTCCGCGGCCGTCGTAATAATACTGTATTCCGCATGATTTGTGTATATTGCCCGGTGCATATTATAATTAACGTAGACGAACTCAACGACAACGACTTCGATATGGCCTATCAATAATTACACGGTTACAGTATTTACGAAGTCGAGCGGGCGGAGGGAGGAGGGAAACGAGAGTCCGTAGCAGGGACGGGTACAACACTGGCCGCCCGTGTGCATTATAATTATACATCGCTACCCGCGTTTACAGTAACATAAAATTATTTATTTTTTTCGAGCTTAACGCCACGCCGAGTAAACATACATGATAAAATAATTCCATTGATATAAATATTGTTATTGTAATGACGGGTTTCGGTAAAACAAAAAAAAAAAAAAAAAAAAAAAAAACCATAATATTATCATACGAGCGATACGGTAATGTCGCGGGCGGCGTAACGACGACGAAACGTACAGTAACATTATAAACGGATTGGTCACGGTCGCGTTTTTTTAGGTACAACTAATGCCGACGATATTCGACGGCTCGCGTGCACTTTATTATTATATTATTTCAATTATTATTATTATGATTATTATTATTATTATTATTATTACTTTTTTATCATCGTAATAGTCGTAATAGCGTCTGGCGCGACGAGACCGAGACGGCCGGGTGGCGCGCGCGCGCGCGCCCGCGCGGCAAACCAGTACCCGATAAGTCTTACATAGAGTCGTGTGCATAGTACCCGGTCTGTGTTCTCCTCGCCGTACAATATTATCATATTATATACAACATACGCGTAAACACTTTACTCACACATATGTCCGTGTGTTTGTGCGTGTGTGTGTGTGTGTGTGTGAGTGTGAGTGTGTGCGCGCGCGCGCGCGCGTATGTGTGCATTATAATAATAATATATTATTATACACGTATATACGTAATAATATTTGTATACGTATTTATACGTACATACGTATTATATATATTTGGCCGTCGACCAATTTTCGACGTCTGTCCACCTCCCCTCGCGCCCCTCCTATCCGTCTTGTTCGCAACCCTTTCCTTATACGCGAACGAGCCGCCGCCGGGTCAAGTCTGCGACCGTATATATACGCTCGCACACACACAATTAAGTCTGGTCTTCTCGTGTGTCTGCGCAACTATTACTTTGGAGACGTACAGGGTGATCTATTCGAGCAGCTACACTCGATGTTTTTTTTTTTTTTTTGACAATACTCGAGAAACGAATGGCTCTAAAACGTTACATTTATAATTTTTTTTTTTTTTTTTTTTTTGTTGCCCTTATTTTCGGGGGCTAAACGACCGAGCATTTTTGATTTTCATAAACGACAACCTAGGTGTATTAAAAATTTCATAGAAAAAAAATATACACGGATTGTTAGTTCAAATACGTTTTGGCGATGAAATATCAGTCAAGGCCCGTCGGCGAGATACTCGACTTTTGAGTATGGGTATAGAGGGGACAGTTAATGACGGGGCGTCATTTGTGCAGTGGCGGCACGGAAGCGCGTCGTTTATCAATAGTGCAGTTCCTCCACCACACTCCGCCCACCCGAAGTTAAAATGTCAACACCGAAATTTATTCAAACCGATATGACGCACGCCGCCGTTTCTGTTTACGGGACTAACCTAACCAAACGCGCGGGCGAATCGAAAGTGTCGTATCGCCCCCGAAAATAAGGGCGACGACAGTGCAACGTTGACGCGACGTTCCGCAGAGGAGCCGCCCGTTTTCGTATGGGCTGTCGGGAAAACGTAAAAAAAAAAAAAAAAAAACGTGTCAATAATAATTTTCGCGATACCGACAGTGTAGCCGGTCGAACGGATCATCCTGTATAATGACGTGTATAATACGGCGGCCGAGGTAAATGTGCGCGCGCGTATATAGACAACCGCGGAGACGATAAACGTCGCGTCACCGTCGTCGTATAATGGTTTTTTATTTTATTTTTTTTTTCTAAGGCTGCCGCCGCCGCCGCCGCCGTTTGTGCATAATAATAATAACAGTCTCCGGCAGTCCCACGCGCGATCGGTTTCGCCGGTGAATATCGTATTGTACCTAGGTACACACGGTGTATACCAGGTACCTGTAATAATAATTACGAGTGTAGACGCGCGCACAGAAATCCGTTCGCCGCCCGAACGATAACGAAAAAAAAAAAAAAACAAAACGAGCGTCGCGAGATGGGCGGCAAACTGGCGCGACCAATCGGAAAATCGTCGTCATCGGTATATTTTGTGAAAATCGCATTTCTTGTCGGCGCGTTTACACAATTCGAATCGTTAATCGTTCGTAGATACGTTAGATACGCGGGTTACACACCATTCTAGCATTTGATACGGACATAAATCCCAGTAATACGAATCAGCTAAAGTGTACGCCGCAGTGTGACGGATATTTCGGTTTTCAAAAGACCTTAAAGCGACGCCGAACGGCCTCGCGGATCTGGGGTATAACAAAAACGTTATTCGCGCGGAATGTCCAGATTCGTGTCGTACAGTATTTGTCATTCGAAAACACGTCGAAATTGCACGCGTGTAGGTCGGTTGGCTACAGAAAATTTGGGGGGGGAGGGGCATTACCCCGAGAGATTATAGTTTCAATGAATTACAATTCCAGTGGGGTATATATTATCTGGATTCAACACCGATTTCCGGGCGAAAATTAGCCGTATCGTAACGAGCGCGCGATCATTGTGTATTGTACAACAAAACGTTTTTTTTTTTTTTTTTTTTTGACGCGAAAATAAACTGCACCTTTCGCGCGGGGGCAACGGGTTTTTTTTTCGAGAAGAGACAAAAAACAAAAAAAAAAAAAAACAAAAACCAACCGAATCTTATCCGGCGCGCACAGAAATAATATCGTTTCGCGGAAAAATCGACGTAAACCGTCTTTTGTGTATGTACGGTAATATAGGTCCCGGGCTCGAAATAAAACTAACGGATTTGGCGAATTCGCGTTATTCAAATGCATCGGGGCCCCGTGCACAATGCGTACACATATAAGTACGTATGCGACGACATTATTATTATTATAATACAATGCCCGCGACGACGTTCCTCCACGCAAATAATATAATGTTCGAATCTTTTTTTTTTTATTCTTTTTTGTTTATTTTTTTCAACGAAAATCTATTCTCGTACACGTTATTGTTTGAAACGACGACGGCGCAGACAAACAACACGCTATATTATATTCCATTGCGTTTACGATGCATTCGTATGGTATAATTTAACAACATGCGGGCGAGCCGACGATCAGTAAGAGCGTTCGAACCCTCTCGCCATTCGAGTTTAACGAAAAAAGTTAACCGGTTACTGTCCGTTCTATCGGTTAGTTAAAATTAATTCGACCGTTTGATTAAATTCGTGACTCGAGTTGACTATTTTTTTATTAATTTTTTTTTTTCCAATTAGACATAGGTACTATATTGTCAGAGTGAAAATGCTCCCACCCGGAGTGCTTGCGATTCTCATGTGAACGTTGGCAGACGGGGAGCGTATTCTGGAAATGTCGAATTATGCTCGTTTATAAACGTGTAGAAAATTCACACACGTTAAAACAAAGTAAAAATAAGTAAAATAAAGAAAGAAAAAAAAAATGATTATTTACGCGACGACGGTACCTATACATCCAATAAGTTATTAAAGACGGTACGTTTTTAACGTTCAATTATCGTGTTAAAATTACATTAAATCGGAATTAACTTAACGCGGTGTAATTCAAAATCAACTCGTTAATATTGTATTATTAAGTTATTAAGGTAATGTAAAATAAATAAATAAATAAATAAATAATAAATGAAGTTAAAAGTTAAACTAATAAAAAAATCAAACGTGTTTTTGAACCATAGTTAATGCCCTCGAGTGGAATGCGTGTTCGCCAACTCCCGGAGTCGGAACATATAAAATTGGATTCCGGTAAAAAAAAAAAAAAAATTTTAAAAACCGTCTTTGAGAATAAAATAAATACTAACTACTAATTCACGGTAAAAATAAAATGCAAATAATCTCGTACCCCGCTCCGATACGAGAAAGAAAAAAAAATAAATAAATACCGACTCCGACCAAACAGAACCTACGCGTATTTCACTAGCCGTGTTTTGTCGCGTTCAATGTTACAATGTTATTGCGCGTTCGGATTCACTGGGCGATCCGGCATTTGCGCGGGGTGACGCGTGAAAACGGCCCTGTGAACCGTCCGGTTCGCGATGCGCGCGTTCCGTGGAAAACGACGGGTCGCGCCGTACCGATTCGGGTGTTTTTATCGTTCGGACGTCCGTGCGGTAGGCGCGCGCGGGGCGGTGCGGTCGTATAAGTCGCGGCCGCGGGCGACGGACGAAAAGTCGCGACTCACGGCCGTTTACTTTGTTGTCGGTCGCGGTCGTCGACATCCATTTCACGCGCGACAACGAAACCGCGGCCGAACGAAAACGAATGTCCCGTCGGTCCCGCGGACTCGAAATCGGTTCGACGGCTGCGCGTTTCGATAACGGCGCGATTCCGTTTTACACGGGTCCCAGATGGCAATCGCGTGCCGAACCGATCGCCGGTCATCGGGCCCGCCGTTGAACTGTCAACGTGTTTACGCTTAATGCGTTGGACATAAAATTATAGCAGCGCCCGCGCCGTTGGTATTGTAACGTTGTCCTTGTGCTCGTATACGGCGTAACTCGTTATAAATACATCTGCGGCGGGAATTAATTCGTGATTTATCGAAAACCCAACGTTTTATCAGCTGTTAGATCGATAAGGACCTTCTAAAACGTCGCGCGCGCGTAATATAATATTATAATACGTTATTGACATTTTAGTTGTATCGATTTAGATTTTAAAAATGCGCGCGTTCGGGTTCTCCGTAATTTAACGAGTAAATTATTGAAAAGAAAAAAAAAAAAGAAAAAAAAACTAGAGAATTGTCCGTTCCAATAGTTTATTTATTAATTTATGTTTTTAAAAGTGTGTATTTAAATTTCCAAAAAAAAAAAAAAAAAAAAACTCGATTATTTAAAATATATTATTATTTGAATACTAGACCCACGCTACACGTTGTTCACACATAATGATGTATATTATAGTACTGCTTACACGGATTTAAAAAAAAATAATAATAATAATAATAAACATACATTATAGAAAAAAAAAAAAAAAAATCTGCTTACAAGCATTTTTTCTTCTCTGTTTGCGTCATTGTCTCGTGTTAATCTCGCGAGTATAATTTTTTTTTTTTTTTTTTTTTTTTTTTTTTTTTTAAATGTATACATATAGAATACTATTTTATGACTAGAATATTATTTTTCAATACTATAATACGGGACTTTTTCACACCGTTTCCGCGCCATAGTATCCTGGCGATATCCACGACTTCTGTTTCGATCAATAACGAAAACATAATGGGCGAATTTTCGAAATGTTACCGAGTGCAAACCGTTTTACCATAAGACGTTTTCACGGTAACTTTTCGTTTTGAAAATAGTTTAACGCTTAGTAAAATGTTAACGTGTTAGTTTAATACTCTTATCTATTTCGGTACCTCAGATAACAATAATTACACTGGGCCGTAATAGTTTTCGCACACATTATCGACAAACGTCAGAAACAAGTTGTCGTTTCGGCGACGGACGACACATTCACGATTGGTAGTTTTTACACATTTATTATTATTATTCAAAACGCTATGTGTGCCGTATAAATACGTAGACGCGTAATGTATACCGGACGTGAATCGACCGTGAGTAAGCTACGGAGACTCGCGATGAAGGTAGAGAGTTACGGTTTTCGTACCTGTAGTAAATAATATTACGGGAACATCTCAAATGGTTCAGGGGGAACAAATACAAGCGATGACGACCTGTCGGACGTCGGTGAAATACCGTGACCTAACCTTACCTTATTAAACCTTGCGAACGGTGGCGTAGCCAGCGGGCCGGCCCGGGCCTGCCTGCCCACTTTTTCTCCGAAAATCAACACGGTTATTGTAAAATCGACCATTTGTATTCTCTCCCGATCCGCAAACATTTACGCTATTTTATCTGGCGTGCCCCGAAAAACGTCACGGTATAGCTACGGGGACGTGCTTACCAATAACGAACGACCGACGTTTCCGCCATTTAGACTGTTCAGCAACGAACACTTTTCTAAAACCGTTTGCTCTCGGCGTGTGTCTATGCCTTGAACGTCGTCGGTCCGGTACGAATTTCACCCGACTCCGAATGAAACGTTATTGCGTCATTCTAATGTACATATAGTTTTGGGGTTTACATACACGTAAACGTGTATACATACGATACGCGCGTCCCCTCCCCCCATCCCAAAGTCACTCGTCGGGGAAAACTATAAATTGGGATCGGCGTAAGACCGCGGCACCGCTCTACGCACGCACGGACCCGAGTCGCCGCATATACATTCGAACGGATTTGGTTGTTCGGGCGAACCGACGGCGGCGTCGTAAAAAGGATAACCGTACACGCACATATATATGTGTGTGTGTGTGTGTGTGTGTGTGCGTGTGCGTGTGTACGTGTACGTGTGTGTGCGTGTGCGTGTGCGTGTGCGTGCGTGTGTACGCCCCGAAATCGCGCGGCGGGACGAGTGGCTGTTTTTTATCTAATAATTATATTCGCAGTTTCGTCTCTCCCCCCCTCCGCCAATAGTACGCTTGTATCACGTGACGCGCAAAGGGTCTGGTCGCCGAGCCCTGAAAAGAAGGGTGCGATCCGGCGCTGGCGCGTATTCGCTACCGTCGTGTTACGAACGCGTGCGTTTTAACGTTCGCATATTAAAAAAGGAATTCCCGACCCGGAATCATTATAATATTGTATAGCCGCGACAGTACGCTCTTGAACAAATAAATATTCGTTACCGAGTGATAATACAAATGTACAGTGGCGTGTTTAGGGTTTCGCCACGGGAGAAGATATTGGATTTTGAAATATTTTTGTTACGTAGATTGTACAGACTGCGCGTGTACCTAGGCTAAAACAAAAAACGAATAAAATAACGATCCAAATTGATATTTGTGTATTTTTCATAATCTGCCCAAACAGTTGTACTATTTTCTAAGAATAACGAGAAGAAGAACCTCCCTTACGTTAAAGTGGTTCGTATAGGTTTCGTTTTTATTAAAGAAATGTATCTATAGTTAAACATTTTTTTTTTTTTTTTTTAATTATTAACTTCTTACCGTTATACCAACATGCACGTCTTTTTTGATTTTTCTGGCTAAAAATTAAAGAGATACTAATTTGAAAAATAGGTGTCCGTAGATAAATAATAGCTACTAAAAAATATACGTCAATGTAGATAGATATATGCCCCTGATCTGCCCCCTTAAATACGCCACTGATATAATATTATAATGTCGTCGCTCTCCGACGCTCGTTTTCGCCGTTCTGCGACCGTACACACGAAAACTGCCGCGGTTTTGGCGGTTTTTTCGTAATGAAATTCGTTCGGCTATACTCGCCTATAGTTTTACCGACGCCGAGATTTTCGGCCAGCTTACGAATAGACAATATTACAATAATACGCGGGTGTTTGCGACGGATAATTTACATTTTTCGGTTAAAATACGATACGGACATAATGGACGCATATGTTATCCGTATATCGATCGGCGATCGGACAGTAACATTAGTTTCGTTTTCCGCTACGTAAAAGTCGGACGTAGTAGGTACAATAAATTATTGTTCGTTGGTTTTCTCGGTTTCACTGTCGGTAAATGTTCGTCCGTTATCATCGTGCCAACGGCGAGAAATATCATTTCTGTTTGTGCGTCTTTATAAACAACTTTTTTCCTACCGGAAATCCGTTGTTCCGATCAACGACTCTGTACAGGGGACTTTCTAATGGACTTTTCGATTCGGTCGGTACGTTGACGGGGTAGTTTTTGATTTTTGAATTTCTGTCGATTTCTGGGGTACCTCTGGCAAAAAGGCTAATAAAATACGACTGACTAATACTCGGTTCGGATCGCGTGCAGATCAGATGCGTCAGGTTTTAAAAATGTCTTGGGAGGTTCAATATTTTAAAAACACATACGAGTTCAATATCAAAACGAACAACTACGTTTATCTTTCTCGATCAATAAATAAAATTAGTATTTCGAGTGTGTACATGATAAATATTTATTTATTTTTTTATAAAAATAGAACCGTGGGGAGCTGGGCTCTTACCAAGCTCGTGGGTTTGCTGCAACTTCGGAGCCCCCTTACTACCGTATACGGCGCCTCTGGTACGGATATAAATTGAATACGTATGCTCCCTTCAGATTCACCTCTCCTAAAACTCGATGGCTCACCCGTTAGTATTATCGGCTTTTTTAATGTGTATAGGTATACATATTAAATCATTCAAGACCAAATCTCTAATATGCTACAAGAAAAACATACCATCTATAAATATAACACTAGAAAATAAATAAATTGTCCAAGTAGACTATTTCAAATATATAAGCAGTATTGTAACAAACGACGGGAAATCAAAAGCAGGATGGGTCAAACGAAAAATGCATTCCTTAAAAAGAAAAAAATTACTAACGTCAAAAAACATGAACATAGCAACGAAGAAGAAGAAAAGGACCATAAAAATATATGTCTGGAGTGTGGTATTATATGGAAGCGAGACGTGGGCAATTAATAAAAAAGAGAAAGATATGTCGGAAGCTCTGTAAATTTAGTGTTGGATACATTTGCAGAGAATGAGCTGGACTCAGAGTAAATTGAATGTAGACGTCTTGAGGACAACAGATGTAAAACTAACATTGATAGACACTATAAGAAGGAGATGGCAGTTGATAGTACACACGTTGAGCCATGAGGATGAACTTCATAGTTTAACAGTTCAAAGTATGATAGAATAGAAACAAGATCAAGGGGAAGACCCAAGACGAAATACATTAGCAGAATTCAAGAGTCGCTTTTTACAGGGAGCTTAAGAATATGGCGTATGACAGAGAAAAATAGAGAAGGCATATATATTGTAAACATTTGTGAAAAATCAATCTTCGGATTGATAAAAAAAAAATAAAATAATAAATAGGTATAGATTCGATTTTATTTGTAATATACTTACCATATAATAATATTTACGACTAAAATATTGCGCCATCTTCGAGGGATTTTTATTATTATTATTATTTATTTTTTTTTTTACTTCCATTTTAAATTACTATCGCTCGAATGTTCTATTACGGAGAAAAATTGAAGACTGATTATAAGACTGTGTGTGATTTTTTTTTGATTTTTTTATTTTTTTTTCCCACTATACACCTAATAACAATAATTCGATGACTCTTCACTTATATTCAATTACAGCAACCCGATATTGCGCAGCAGGCGCGTTATGTTGTTATTATTATTATTTACACGTAGATAAACATTTTCGCACTACATTTTCCCATGGAACGATTATTACATTATTATTATCGCGTATATTATAACCCCTACAGGGGATTTGATATTTTTTTTTTTTTTTTTTATCGTATCACGAGATCTGTATAATATTATAATAATCATACGCGTGCCGCACACGCGAAATAAAAAATAACAATAATATCGCGCGGCTTTACATATACGCACAATTTATTTTGATTTCGATTACATTTTAATATCGGCGTTGAAGAGGTGCCGATGAGATGAGTTTTCCGATTTCGGATTGATGATAATATAATATTCGAAATACGAGAAACCAGTTAAATTTTTCCGATGATTTAACGATGATTATGGTACTCGGACGGGCGGCGATGTCTCGGTAAATTGAAATGTTTCTATTCGGACGGTTTTTTTTAACTATATAACAATTATACGAGTGTACAAATGACGCGAAAACGATTTTTGATAATATTACGAGGCTTTTTTTTTTTTTTTTCTTTTACGTAGGTCGTCGCAGGTATAGCGTACGTTATAAAACGACAACTAACCAGACCGAACGCGCGCACGCGTGCACGCAAATAGGGGAAGGCTCGAGGTGTTTAGTAAACTCCGTCTCAAAGACAAGGCAAAACACTCAGTCAAGCCCCCCCCCCTTACACTGCCACCTTTCAAATCGGGTATGCGAAATTGTTTTCTTCGATATTACGACGAGGGTCTTATTATTTTGCAACAGGTTCTAAAAATAATATATAATTAAATTTAGGTTAATTATAAATTATAATATATGTATTTTATAATTGAAGTCTATGCATCATAATTATTATTTAAATTTGCAGACGAGACAGACACCCGATAAATTGTACGTTCCATAAATTTTGTTGGGGATTTTTTTTTTAAATATTGTACTTGTACGAGTTTTTTTTGCATGTAAAATCGCCCATCATCCATATAGCAGTGGCTTGCTCGGGAATTTTCAATGGGAGGGGATGTACAGCAAATAAGAATCGCGAATAAATCGTAAAATCGTTTTCTCTACCCGACTAAAATTATATTTATTTATTCTCTTTTAATTTTTTTTTTTTTATCGAAAAATTCAATTAAAATATATTAATACGCAATTAAAATGATGCGTATCGTTTGCAGTGGAAAAATATCTCGTCGTTACACGAGCCACACGTAAAATCGCCCATCATCCAAATAGCAGTGGCACGCCCAGAAATTTTCAATGGGAGGAGATGTGTAGCAAATAAGAATCGCGAATGAATCGTAAAATCGTCTTTTCTACCCGATTATCGGCTATGATGGGCAATGGTAATTTAAACGCTGATCTTAAAAAAAGAAAAACCAATTTCTAATCAATACACCAAGCTTTTCCTCGTGACTCGGCTGAAATATATGCGTTCTGACATTAAATCATTCATATTTTTTTTTTGTATTTTTATGCCAATGTGCGGTAAGATATGACCTCTAACCTCCCCTTCTTTGCGCACGTTACTGATATCTAGACTCTAGATCACAGCCAGATACCTACCAATGTGTATACATACCAACGGCGTTTCGTAAAAAGAGCGTCTATCAAATTTCACTTTTTTTTTCAGGAAGCAAAAAAAAAAAAACTGTTTTTAATGATGATGCTTGAAAACAATACAATATAATACATTACTCGTACACATAATACCTTGTACACAAAGTATACACGCATTGCACGTGGTACATCACGCCTTTTTAACAAATCGGTGTTGATTTTATCGTATTTTAAAAGGGCGCCCGGATATATTTTAGTCGACATTACCGACTGGAATTTCTATATTTAAATCCTCCCTTTTATACCAGTTTATGTTGCTAATTTTTTTTTTTTTTTATTCCGGTATCGAAAATTTATTTTTCGATTTTTAGTGGTACACGCACTTCTGACCAAACACCTTCGATACGCCATTACCCATGTTTAAAATAATTACTACTGCATGTTGTAGTAACGCTCATCCGGATGAAAATAATAAAAAAAAAAAAACAACACACCAAAGTGCGTGTTCCTTTATGCGCGCGCGTAACCCCTAGCCGCGGTATCACGGCTCGCGACCCTTTTATGCACGCGGCACACACTCTGCGCCCGCGTTGCCCCGCGAGGAGTCGCGCGAGTGTGTTAGCCGGCAGCGGCTCGTCCCCGCGGCGGTCGTGTAAAGAGCCGTACGCCCGCGCGTCGGTTGGACGCCACTCTGAACGCGACGCGTACCGCGATGGAATAAGTCGAATCCGCAATCGCGTCGTCGCCGGCGCGTCAAGTGGAAAAAAAAAACAAAAAACGAAATTACCCGTCGAGGGGGGGAAACGAAAAAAATTCAAACGACCGTCGAACCGCGAACGATAACTGCCACGTGTGTCGTTTACTGTTACGCGTATTCGGTTCCGATGGGCTCGGGTAAATTCTCGCCGTTGTCGTTCCGCGATTTTCGTTTGTTTTTTTTCCGTCCGAATCGAACTGCATTATAGCGCGCGTTACATTCTAACGCGTGTTTTACGGAAATCGCAGACGTCTCGAGTCACTGTGGCGTTACGATGATTACTTGTTGTTTAAGGGGATTGGGAGCGACGAGCTTTCTGTCTTGCACACGTGAGATCCAGGGATTTAGACGCGTTTTGTTTCCAACGTACCGATTGATCTAGTGAAGCGATAACAATTCCGAAAACAGATTTGAATTCGTCCCGAAATCTACTTGAGATAGACTTTTACACCTTTTTTGATTTTCGACTTTCATTGAACAAAAAATTAAAACACTCCGTTTTTTTTTCTTCCGATTGCTCTTTTATTAGTATGGCTGTTTTCTTAGAATTTAGGATTTTGACCCGGACCTCACAGTCATGTGACTTTAGCCGTTTAGAACGGCTGCATTTAGGTTAGGTCGTTTAACAATTTATAGTAATTTAGCAGTTGATGCCGTTTAACCATTTTCACAATTTCACAAGTTCCGGTTTAATTAATTATTTCTTTTTTAGACCACGAGCGATTGTTTTCGATGTAGAATTTTGGACAAGGACAGTCCATTTGCAGGGCAGGCGGTTCTTTTATTTTTATATACTTTGTTTGCAACGGAGGAAAACCGAGGGTAAAATGTCGGGAAAATGAGAATATGTATTTACGCGATGTCTACGCTATTTTCGTCAGTCATCGATTTCGGTTATTTTTTCTTGTAGTTTTACATTGCTATTTGAAATGTTTGCGGTTTTTTCGGTTTACTTAATACGCGGGTAACATGTTTTTCAACCGCGTACAAATAATCGATAATCTGTTAAAACGATACCGTTGTAAGCTGTTTTTATGCTGGTGCACAAAAAAAATCTTGAGCTTTACGTCACAATTTTTGTTATTCATTTGTCACGCGATAAGTGAATATTTTAATTTATTGACTTATATATTATAAACTATCGCTCGACTGCTGCTTTAAATGTCAATGTTTTTCGCAATTTTTCAACGAAAACATTTCGTCACTATATTTGTTTCTCATGATACCGTAGAAACTCCGTCCGCATATCTCGGAAATCGCCAGATCGTATTAACACGCACGTCTGTAAAATACTAATGTCAATCATTAAATATCGAGTCTGTGCGATTATTTTTAACCGAATTACGACAAAATCGAAATTAACGAAATCACCGTTTTTTTTCCATAGACTTTCCTGGTATTATTCCCAATTATTGCGAAAACTACTCGGAAAATAAAAAAAACCACTTTAACGCGCCGATCGGCTACGGATTTCCACAGAACAATTTTATGCTGTCGTTTTTCGATCACGATTTCCGGTAAAAGTCGTTCACAAACACACGTACACACAAAGAGCTCGTATACTGCCGGACGGGCGTGCCGCTGTTTTAGGCGGGAATTCGAGAAGGTATTATAGGATACATAGATAGGTTATCAGTATACATTACGACGATCGATCGCAAATCAACTCGAGTTTCCGGTAGAAATGTTTTTTTTTAACAGACGCGAAATAATAAAAAAAAAAAAATTCAAAAATTTAAACTCGCACACCGCGAGCGCTCGGAATTAAAAAAAAAAAAATAAAAAAATAATGATAAAAATATCGTTTAAAATAAAATCGCCGCCCCCGGGGCTTCGTAGCCTACCCCCGCTCGGTCCGACCGCGTCGAATTCGGCACGCTGCGTAAACGAAATTCTGTTTCGCATAAATAACGATACCGCGTAATCAAATCCTATCACAAGAGTAACGCGCGGCGTACGTGCACCGCGCACTGTACACATTACAATTTACATTTTTTACAATTACGTACCCTTAACCTGTTTTACGCGCTGCGCAGAGGCTTTGTGTGCGGAAAATAATAATACATAATATACCTTTCGAAACGCGGGCATAAATTAGCAATAAATAATAATATTCCTTTGTGTTGTTGTTTGTGTTATAGTCGCCTATTACAATATATAGTAATATTTTTTATCCTTTCGGTGAAATTGATCCGTCGCGCGTACGCCATAAAGGAACGCGTCACGCGGCGCATTTGCCAGTGAATACGCGCCGCCGCGTGTAAAATCCGAATAGCCGACGCGAACGCTAAACGTGCTCGTCGAATTTCGCTGCGACGTGTACGTCGCGTTAGCGGTTATTTTCAGTGTTGAGATTCGTCGAGATAAATCGTCACGCGTACGCGTGCAGTTCTCGCGTCTTTTATATTTTCTATGCTGCGGCGGTTCCGATATTGTGGGGGGGGGAGAGGAAAAGAAGAAACGCCCCTTATTATTTAATGTAGAACAATCACTATCGGTCTCGTTTTAGTTGTCGTTACACGAGACGTTATTTTCAATGAAAAATATTGAAAACTCGAATTAGTATTATTGAAAATCCATCCGTTTTACTTGATTTTGTTGAGCCGGTATAACCGTGATAAGGAAAATATTTTAAGGGATGTAATTTGTTTTATGAACGAACGTGTGTGAGGGAAAATAATTTTGGAATTCTTGTCCCCTTGATGGGCGCCATTTAATTGGGAACGCGTCTCAGTTTTCGGTCCATACGGCCCATCTTCGACATTTTTCCCACTTTAACCGCTGTTTTCTAGACGAATATTTCGATCCAACCGAGATTTATTCAAGTTAAACACAAACATATTTTCAGTAATTATCTATATAAAATATTTTCTTCTTTTTCTTCGCCATCGTCCCAACTATTTACCGTCGGCCGCCTTTGTTCTAAACTTCCCTCTGCCCCTCTGCCCCTCTGTCATATTATAATAATATTCCCAATAAACAGATGACTATTTAAAAAAAAAAAAATGAATAATAATTCGTTTTTATCGAGAATAAAGTCCGCGGTTTATCTATTATCTTATCCGGGATAATTCAAATATTTCTTATCTTTGTGTGTATTCATATTATTTGGATACGTTTCACAAGACTTATGCCACCGAAAAAAAAAAAAATTGTATAACTCGATAAACATTATAATATACGCCACAGCAAACTGAAAAAATTCGTTTTTATTTAAATTTCCTGGTAGGTACGACAAAGGAAAATAATATCATCGATACTGCAGTTTCACGAATTACGGACAGATAATTTTGCGTTTACGGAAATATTGCGTTGCTGAATTTCACAAGAAACTCAATAATAATATTCTGCATTGTATTAATATTATTAAAACAGCATTAATAATAATAATAATAATGTAATTGTATATTATGTATAGCAAATATAACAAAATTTAAATTCGTCATTAAATTCGTAAATCCCGTGTATACGAGAATGTAAAATGACATCGTTTTTTTTTTTTTTTTTTTTTTTTAATGAATTATCTTTTCTTCTGCTTGGCTTAGGCACTCGACGCCACAACGTTAAGATCCGCCTGCATCACCTATCCCTGTCCTCTGCGGCTTTCGGATGTCTGATTCCTCTACATCAGCGTCCTTCCCATCTTAACCCCGGTCTCTCCAAAGGCTTTTTTTTCTCCTCATAGCAGAGTCTTACTCGTCCTCGCATCCGGTCGTTGGGGACCTTTGCTCTCGGGAATCGCTCCGATCTCAATTGTTCGACATTTCTCGGAAAGCGCAAAACAACCGGCCGTTACATTATTATTTTCAGTTTTTTTTTAGATTCTGAGTGAAGCGCAATGGATTTACAAAGATGTTTATTTTTTTTCTGCGAACACTTATTTTCTACCGGCGATTTTGTTCCGATTTACAATCGTAGCACTTTTTCTGAACGCAAATCTAACTGGGACGGTACTTTGAGGAGGTCGTTTTTCGATTTTCCCAGGAGTTTTCCCAACAAATGAGAAAAACCGGAATAAACGTGGTGAAATCTTCTCACCCTACGACAGTGGCCGCAACCGTCCCCATTATCCCAGGATAGCTTCAATTCTTTTTTTTTTTTTTCCAAGCCGAATGTCCGCGTATCCAAAAACGTTCCGTCCAGTCACCGTCGTCGGTCCGCTACACGGTCGCGGTACTCTCGGCGTTACTCGCGCGAACGATCTCGGTTGTAATAAACGCGCGTGAACCGTGTGACGTCCGCGGTCTTCTAAACGCGCGTCCTTGTACCGCACGGCAGTATCATTTATTTTGCATTTTTCCTCGCCCGACCGACCGACGACGGGGACGGTTCGCGCGCTGCTGTAATGTCCCAACGGGCGCGACCGGCGACGTTTCCGTTTCCCGTCGCGCGTGCACGGACGAAACGGACGTTATCGCCGGTTACGGGGCACCGCCGATAGCGCGCGATAACCGTCGGGATGCGAAAATCTGCGGGTTCGCGACGGCAGGACGGACCAGAAATATTATTGTGCGCGCGACCTTATTCGGCCCGCGCTTTTGTTCACGCCACAGCACGGATATGTATTGAATCTCGTTTCGTTTTGCACATGTCGTCCGGCGGTTGTGATGTCCGCCGCCGCGGTCCATTCGTATTGTCGTTGTCGCGCCGCGCTATCCGGCAGCGCCCGTACATTACGCGCGTACCGAATCGGGGGAAAAATTCGGGGTGGGAAAAAAAAAAAAAGAGAAAAAATGTAGAAATAAAACCGTATACGTTTGCATTGTGTCCGCGCGACGTTTCTCGGTACATCATTGTGCGCGCGCTCGTATTGTTCGCGGCGCGGCCAGTCTTCCATTACAATGTTACGCATAAATATATTTCATAGTGAACAACAATGTAGAACGCCGGGGTTTTCACAACGCCGTGCGTACCTGTAAACCTTCCGAAAAACCACCTGTGCCGTCGTAGGTGGTTGTCGGCGGTCGCGCACACACGCCCGGTATACCGCGGCGCGCGCCGTCGCCGCACGCGGGCGCATTCCGCGTGTCTCCGGACGTTACGAATCCCATTTCGTTTCTCTTCTGTTTACCGATTTCGGTACCCGCGTTGAACCGTAGTGCACGGCGTTCTCGTGCATGGGGCGCACGCGGCGACCTTCGCGTCGCGACGAAAATCCATTACCCTCGCCCCCCACCCCACCCCACGCACCCCGCCGCACCACGCCAAGCAGGTACGTCGCAGGCGTAATGGGCATGAACGAAATCGCGCGGTGAAAAATCTAAGACCCGTACGCGAGAGAACACGCGAGTGACGCGCTCGCCGGCGATATTGTGCCCGAACAGAAATACGGCGCGACAGCGGCGACCCATTTGAACGTACCGCAACCTACCGCGCCGGAATGTGTCGTGCCGACACGAATCAAAAAATTACGATTTTTCGTTTTGTCGCTATTCGAAACACGCAGAACGCCGTCCCTAACAATTTAGCGTTCTTGAGTTGTTTTTTTTTTTTTTTTTTTTTCATTTATTCGATAGCTACCGATAAGACAGTAAGAAGTCAATTACCTCCGATTATAATAAACCGTGGTTTCCGGCCCAATTATATTGACGCTTCCGAGATGTGACTTATTATTCTGAGAATAATGTCATATCTCAAAAGTAACGGTTTCACACGGGGAAAATTATGAAGGTTTACGAAGCATTAAAAGTCGATTTTCCGACATTTTCATATTTTGATTCGTGTCGCTGTTCGATACGATGTTTTCTCGATTTTCCCGACAAACGGACGGATTCGATATCGAACAACCGAAAAAAAAAATAATAAATAAATAATAATATTATTTTTTTGGTGGACCGGAGGTGGCGATTTTAGACGCGCATTTAGACGCGTTTTCGTTCAGACATACCGATTGATCGAATGAAAAGTGATGCGAATTCTAAAAACGGATTTGAATTCAAGCGGTCAAGTCCACTCGGAATCGCCTTTCCCGTTTTATTTTCTTCTAATTTTAATTATTCAGATATTCCATTTTTTTTTTTTTTTTTTTTATTACTTCTTTTTTTTGGATTTATAGACGGATAAAACACGTCTAAATTCCAATGTTGTTGCGCGTGCGTTAGACAATGCCGTGAAATCACTGCTTCCAGCCCCTTGAACAGTTATATGTTAGCGAATACGATATTTGTTCAGTATATGTATAGCTACGTAATTTCCCAATAAATTGCTGAATATGACGAAAACGTCGTCGTTGTCACGCCGACGATTTTCAGCGGTAAAACGCGTTTACGCCCCAAAACGAAAAAATTATACGGATGACAATATTTAGAATCTATCGTATTTGGGTCATTTTTCAAAATATTATTCCGAAAATAAGTATCACCCTCTATCTCGTTGTTTTATCTCCATTATCATTTATACAAAGGGTCTGTAGGCGTTTTCTACACTTTTTCGTAAACCTTTTTCCGGACTTTCATTTCGCGTTTATACATTCGAATATTTTCGTGCGGATAGATTTCCGTTAAAATTGCCTATATGAGATCCCTTTAAACCGGGTTAAGGCGATATTTTCAATTGTTTTATTTTATAGTTATTAAACTTCAGATTAGTTTGTTGAAGTTTTCCATGCCCCTATAGTG